CATCGATAGAAAGTCCCACACTGGCTCCAGTGGGTTCTGGATCAGGCAACCCCAACTGCATTGGTTCTCAGCCATACAATAAACAATGGCTAACTTTTCTCTTTCCCGCTGAGAAGAGCAAAACCATCCAGGCACCTTTTGCTCTTTTTCAAAAATAAAAATAAAAGTAAAAAAAAATGAAATAAAACCAAACCACTTCCTAGCTATCCAGTGATTGCGGTTTTCAGATCACTACCCCTTGAAATTTGTTAAGAATAAAGAGAAAATATGTAGTGTTTTAAATACAAGAAAAGAAAACCTGCATCGGACTACATTACATGAATTGTTGAAACAAACACAGTGCACGAGTGGAGGAAGTTTGGTTAGGATGCAGTCCTTTTTATATATACATGGAAGTCACATCATATACAAACTGAAAAACAAGCAGAGTTAGTTTGCATTTTCATGGAAGGACTACAAATGGGTCCCTGCAGCTTTCTTCGAAACTGGTCTTCAGGAGACTTTGTGAAACATGAAAAAGCAGCCACACTAAGTCACTCTTCCAAGGTTACCTTTACAGCAGGTGTGTGAGCCCAGGGAAATCCCATCTGAGCTGTGTGGTTAAAACACGAGGAGAAAGGATCAACAGCCACTACAGCAGCACGGGGCTTTTCCCTACTGCAATGCCAGTGGGATCCATCCACCTTTCCCTCCCTCACTCCCACCCCCCAGAGAAAGAAATCGATCACTACAAACACCACATACATTTTTCTGGCCATGCAATACACTTATGTCCAATGTTTTAGAAAGCTGGAAATTGAAATAGCAATCCCTTCCTAGTTGTTCTGTAAAGTGCAGTCCGAACAGTTCTGCCCATGAAGAAAATGATGTTTGTTACTAACTGTATACCTCTGGTGGGCTGTTTTTGCTTTATGTGACAACATAGGTAAATTCTAGGTTTTTTCTTTCTCACAGATAGAATTTTTGGAAGCCAAATAAATTTCAAAACCAGCCAAAACAAAAAGAAAACAGAACTTTCCATAACCTGACTATCCCTGTTGAGCCTTAAATGGCAAAAAAATCTGATGACCAATCTATACAAAATTCCCACTAGAAACATCCAGAATACGAAGGAACATTTTAATTGCACAATACACATTTAAAGTGAATAATATCATCTTGTTAAAGTCTAATCTTTGGTTTTTGCCTCGAGAAAGGCTCAGAATGACAGATGAAAGGCAGGAATTTCCATATACACCACAGTTACCACAGCCTGCTGAAGTGAGTAGTTCACTGATTTCGGTAAATATTCTGGCAGAAAGGGTTTCTTGAACCATGCCCTAAAAACAATTCCAAAACTAGGATAAGAGACATGACCTAGTGCCAGGAAAATGGTTCAGATTATTAAAAAAAAATTACAAAATTCACAGCCTTAGGTTCTGATCCTGCAACATCTTTTAGGACAGAGTTTTATGCACTTAAGTGGCCCCGTGAGTTTCAGGGAGCAGTCCCAGCTGAATGCCATGCAGCTGCTAAAGTGCTTTGACAGGCTGGGGCTTTGGAATTTGGGTTTGTTTTGGTTGGGGTTTTTTTGAGATGGTGAATGAAGCTACTAAATAAAAGTAGAAATGAGGACTATGAACAAAACATTTTGTTTCTCTCCTTTTCCTACTCCAGGCAAGGCTTAGATAAATATAAGAAACTTCAGCTATAATTAAAAAGGAGAGAAATTCTGGGCCTTTTTATTACCTCTCCTGTGATTTTGCAATAATCAGCTGCTACTAAGTCAATACTGTTACTATTCTAAACCACATCAAGCTGTGGGAAATGATCAGTGAAACACAGTAGTCAAGTAGACAAAAGACTGAGCACTGAAGAGTAGAAACTATAAATTATATTGAAAATAAAAATGCTTTAGTTACAAGACCTTCAGTGCATATGTTATGGGCCATTTGCATTAAAGACAGTCCCTCCTGCTGGTAACACACCCAAACCAGCTTGGGTATAAGTACTCCTGGCCCAAATTCGGAAGCGTTGAATACCCCCTGTTCCACTGAAATTGGTGAGGACACAGCATTTCTCAAAATCACCGATGCTCACACAGCAGCACACTAACTTCTACTAATAAACTCAATATGCTGATAAATTAAAAATGTTCTGGAGTTGGAGGTAGGGAAGGGTGGGAGGTTGTAAGTTTGCACACAGTTATTTCTTCAGATTAACACACACAACGTTAGTAACTGTAGTTTTCAAATTGTTTTAATTTGGTGCTATTGGGATTTAATTCTCTGAGGAATCCTTCTTTGAGAAGGCAAAACCATTTTAAATGATACTGAAATCATACTACATTCTTACGGACATGAAAAACATCGTGAGTTTGAATTTCATAGTGCCAAGAACAGGGCCTCTGAAGCTGAAGCTTTAACCAAGAACTTCTGTGCCACAAAGGGGAGGAGGGGTGGGAATGAAAACACAGTGAGACTGTGTCACAGCAAGTATTTGCGCCTGGTATCCTCATCCAGAGTGAGGTCTACTACTTCTGGGGGTGAAGACCAGTTCTGCTGGGGAGTCACTGCTGTCCATGACTGTGTTTGCTGAGCGCTAATGTACTGTGCGCCGTGCTTCCAGGAAGACACACTCTGAATCACACCTCCCCTGGGATGCACACACCTGCAGCAAGGAAAAAAAACACAAAATATTAATGCTGCTATTGAATTCAGTCAGATTCTTCACTGAAGTGTTTCATCACTTAGACATCCCTCTCCAAACTGTCCTCATGGATTCTCCACTTGTGGAGTCCACGATGTCTGAAACACCCAGTAAACAAAGCTGAGACTAAATTTAAACTTGGGGGTGGTGGTGGGGATTAAATCCTTTTTAAGAACTGAATTCTGCCAGTGGGTGTAAAGTGATATTCCTTAAAAAGTATGTGCCTGGATCCCAAGGACCTTGAAGAAACCTGTCCCACCATGTGTAGTGCCGTGAATTATACAGCACAGTTTCCTGCTAGCAGTTTTACCCACTGGACTTCTAACAAGAGAAAAATTTGAAGTGAGGCTGCATGAGACAGAAAGAAAAGCTATTTTGCTATATAAAATCAAAGCCATGTTAAAGTAAGGAGGTAATGATACTTTCATTACAATAATTACAAAAGAGATCTTGTTAATTACATTATTACAGCCATTACATTTGATTTTTGTTTTGGTCTTTTTAACTAAGAATTACAAACATGCTGGGAAATGCTCACTGACAACGGCACAGCCTCACTTCAGCAAAACATTTAAGCTTTCAGCCAATGAGACTAAATCATGTATTTAAAGGTAAGGATAGGCTCAAGTGACTTGCTGAAGCGAGATACATAGGTACTGATTTACACAGCATTTTTACCTATTATCTTCATAGCAGACATGTGGCAAATCAAGTGCAAGTTAGTGGTAATTAGGAAAAAAAAAGGCAAAAGATAGACTTAATTTTGTTGTATGATGAAGTGATGACAAGAATTTACTGGAGGCTTTAAGATGATCACTCCACTTCCAACTGAAAATATTACACAAGCACTAGTAAAACTTGATACCTAATGCTCAAAAAATTGTTTTTCTCTTGTAAGCATTGGTGGTCGCTGCAGCTGCTCCTGGCTGCACAGCTAAGTATGAGGTGTTCTGGCTGCTGGGGTAACCTTTCCCTATTTATTTGTGAAGGCATGTGTATTTCAGGAATTCAAATTTTCTGCACTGATCCCTGGCATTTACATTTTATTTATTCTAATAAAAAGTTGTGCTATTTATTTTCTCCAAAACTACTTAGGTTATACTCAGCTCTCTTGGTTTTGGTTGCAGTTTCATGATGTAGAATGAAAAATCTCATTTTCTGAGCTGTAACTTCTCTGAATATAAATGTCTCATTACCTTCTCAGATACGCTGTTTAGTTTCGGATGTGATGTTCAGAATGGCTTTTTTATGACTTCCTCAGTCTTAAAAACACTTACTTAAAGTACGTATCTACAAAGTGTTTGCAATAAGAGACTGGAACTCTAGCAAATGTATGGGATTTCTTTCTTTAAAGAAAAAATATTTTTAAGCATAACTGACAAGAAAAGCTTGTAGACAATGCAATTGAATACGATGTTTGGTCTCAGGGCCTATGGTCCATTGTTCTCAGAACAGTCCTCAATGCTTAGGCAAAGCTAACACTAACTTTTCTCCCTGAAGATGACAAAAATCAAGCCATACATTATCTCACAGAAATTATATCTCACAAAAATAAAAGTGTTTATCCTCATACAAATCACACAAGCAGCCAACAGCAAAATGTTGAGTCAAACATGAGCTTAGGGACCATGCTTCCAATCTGTAGCTATGGGAAGATACCAAGTAAAGGCAACCAAAAAAAAGGAGTGAAAAAACCCCTAGGAAAAAAACAGATGAAAACTATTTTATACACATGCATGATTAAAAAATAAAATCTATTGGAGAAAAATTAAACTGAAAAACATGAGTTGGTGTCCTAAGTAGATGCTAAGTAATATTCCAATGATGAGAAAGAGCACCAATTCACTAACAATCTGAAAAACCTCACATGATGGACAAACTCTAGGTTGTCACGACTCACACCAGCCCAACAACAACATGGAATACGCAGCATGATAAAAAACAGCAAAAGAACAGAATCCAAACACCATACTAACTAAGCATGCAAAAAATACTGATCAAAAACCTAAACCTTGTCCAAACGACAACCCTGTCAGAAGCCCATCAATACTTCATAACTGCAAGCCTAGACCTGCAAGAGAAATAAAACTCTAAATAGGATTCAAACAACTGAAATGTGTGAGTATTCAATGGAGCCAGTAAACACTAGTGTATGGGAGAAGGCTATATGAACAAAGGAAAGCACAGAATTGTGCTTATAGTCTAATTTGCTGAAATTATTTCAGTCCATATCTGCTAAAACTCATTTTAAACAGCAACTCAGCATTTAGTTCACAATTCTGTTCCTGTACAAGGTATTACTGAGGCAAGCAGCATGGGAAGCTTTCAAACAGGGAACTGCAACAGAAGGGTCATGTGTGCATAGTAATAGGGAGATTTACAATGACTCGTTTTGGATGGCTGCACCCCTCATCACTAGCACAAAGATCCTCCAAGCCCTGGGTCTGCTGGATAAACAGCCAGGGGAGTTAGTTCCTAAGGAATTTGTATCTCCCAAAGGTTAGCCATGCCAGGACTTTCACTGTTCTGAAAGCAAAGACTAAATCTGTCTCCCTTCAGGACCTGAAAACTTACTTTTTTCAACAGCTCTGGACTGTACCCACATCTATCCATCAAGTTTCCTGCCTGGGAAATCGGGTCCTGGCACACCTTTCTTCTTTCCTCAGGAAAGATGTGGTGAAGGGACATTGAGGAACAGCTCTGTTCCTTGTTCCTCACACAGCTCTTCAGCCCCCAAGTACCCACCATGCAGCAGACTAGTTTTGGAAGGAGCTTGTCTGTATAGTGTTTTAACTTCCTTTTATTCAACCAAATTCACACTCCACACTATATGAAAATGCCAGTCTTGTTCAATTGCTTCATCATATCTTAAGACAAGGAAGGACCACAGACTAAAGATGAAGAGCAACATCAAAAAATGGCTACCAAGAATAACAGCTGAAGCTCAGCTGGACAGGTTTCTATCTGAGCTTAGGAGAAACCTCTGGATTTCTACCCTTCATCTACTCCAGGGATTTAAACCCTCTTGTATCTTCAAATAAAATCAAGATTCACAAGGATCTGATTTTTAATCTAAAAGGGCTACTAGATGATCTTTAAGGTCCTTTCCAACCCAGGCCATTCTATGATTCTATAATCTTATGACATTAGCCAAAATTGATAGTATTTTTACAACTACGGATTAATTAAATGAAGTGGAAGCTGATTATAAGTTTATATTTTGAAAGGAAACAAGAACCCACATAAATAATTTTGCTTATTTATTTGCATATTCACATATTCCTTTAAAATCTGATGCATATACATTTGGTATCTCAATATTTGATATTTTAGTACTACGCATCTGTAGCCAGTTAATGTTTGATATTGAATCACAAGTTTAATCTGAATACTTATCAAGTTGGTCACATTCTAAAGAAAACCACATTCTGGCACCACCATGACTAGCAGAATAGAAAAAAAATGCAATGTTTGCTACCTTTTGGGTGCTGCTCATGGATGGGTAACTATAGAAGGCAAAGTCAGCAGTTTTTTATTAACTCTGGCAGTACAGAGATTCTGATAAAATGAAGAAAAAAAGAATTCATACCTGGCATGTTCCTGAACTCCAACAATCTCTACTTCACTATCAGAAGAGGCGATATTAATTTCTTCATTGGCCTGGACATTAGCAGAAGAGTTTTTGTCACCTGCAAGGAAGCCTGGATCCAAACGACCTACAGATGGAGAAAATGGAAATATAGGCAATGTTTAACAGCTTACACAACTCAGAAATCAACTGGAAAAGGAGTTTTCCAGCCTAACAAAAAAAAAATCCACCAAAAAACCCCAAACCAAAACCCCACAAACAAACAAAAAAAGACTGAAACACTGGAGATTGGGAAATCTTATTAGATCAAGTTATTCAACTTTCAGTTCATCACCTGATAGAGGATAACCCCTGCATTCAGCCAGTCTAGTGAGGGAGTTTTCACACCAATGTGAACAAAGCCCAACTACTGCATCAAGAACACTTGATGTAATTAGAATTTCCAGCTGCTATTTTATGACAATGCTAAGAGATAGACTGTGCCTAAACCTCTTTGACATAAAGAAACAAAACAATCTAATCAAATCCAATTATACTATGGCAAAAAAAAGCCTATAGGCTGGACAGAAACATCACACGCATCAAGGAAAATTAATTCAATTTCTTTAAATAGAAAGCTAGGGGAAGCTGGTCAATGAAAAAAGAGCAAACCCATCAGTTTCTGGCTGTGCTGCTTCACACATCTGCTCTAACATTATTACAAATACTTGGAAAAAAATCTGGGTTTCCTAAGTCCCATATACAACAGTAGTTTTTTAATTACAGTCCCTCAATGCTGCCGAGTTCATCAGCCTGTCAAATAACAGGCCCTCTCTAAACACGGCGAGTGTGGCAGGTTTTTGTCTTTTCTGCCAAGCACTGCTGGGAAGGTTCTTCACCCCAATTAGTGAAGCTGTGTTGAGTCATATTAAATAATACTTGCATGGAAAACACAAAGCAAACAAAATTATTATTTCTTTCACAGCAAATAAATTTTTAAAAAATCAATTTAAGAAACAAGATTTCAATAAAAGATATAACTTAAGACTCTTTTTTTTAGGGAAACAGAAGATGATTAATTCTCCTGTCTCTAACATTAGCCTGGGGCGGGGGGCTGAGCAGCCCTGAAGCAGGTGACACTACCTACTTCTTAGAATCCACTTGCCCAGCTGTTTTTGTTGAGCAGGAAATTTGAAAGGAGGTGAATATTTTATGTCTATCTAGTTTGAGTGGACATGTCTTCAAAGATGAGAGGAGTAGGAAGCAATAACGATCCGCAGAATTTCGAAAGTGTGCAAACATGCAGAACAGATTATACCCCCAGGTAGATCAAGAGGACATAGAAGAAATTAAACTTAAAACAAGTGTTAGGAAAATCTTCTAATGATTGCACTTGAAAAAGATGCAAGCAAACAGAATCATAGAATGGTCTGGGTTAGAAGGGACCTTACAGGCCATCTAGTTCCAACTTCCTGCCATGGGCAGGGTCACGTTCCACTAGACCAAGTTGCTTCAAGCCTTATCCGACCTGACCTTGAACACTTCCAGGGACAGAACAGCCACAGCTTCTCCGAGGACCCCGCGC